GTTCCTGGCATTTGGGTTCCATTAATATAGTACTAGTACCCTGTCCATCACCAGCATTAAGGGCAGGAGATTAACCTGAACCTCGGTAACTCCACCCCCAGAGAAAATGGGGGCCTAAGGTGTTATAAATCCAGCTGGCTTTTGAATCCAATATTCTAAAAATACGCTACTAGGAAAGAACACATTCCTGCTACTCAGAGTGTGGATATATTTATTATAGTAGTTGAAAAGTCATTGAGTTAGCTACTGAAAAATAGCAATGAAGATGTAAATCTCAATTAAAACATAGGCTTTTTTACTTTTATGTTTTTCTTTTTGCAATCAGGTTTACATCGGACAAGGTAAATGGACAATTTAATTTAGCAGTTCATTGATGGAGTCTGTTGAGTCTGTTAATTCTCATAAACCAAAATTCATGGTTTTGGGTATGGACCATTTTTGGCTTCTTTGCCTAAATCTAGACTCAGATGTAAATTTGATTAACACCAAGGAATCGTTTCTCTTTAAGACTTTTGTCCTCTCAGGTGAGCATATGTATGTGAAGAGGATGTGGGAGGTGTTGTAAGAATATGTAGAAATAGTTCTTATGGCAAGAAAAGAGCTTCTTTTTTTCAAATTACACTTTTTGAGATAATTGTAGATTCTCTTGTACCTGTAAAAAATAATACAAATGGATCCCATTTATCTTTTACCCAGCTTCTCCTGATGCTAACATCTTCTAACACTATAGTATAATATCATGACCATGCTACTGACATGGAAACAGTTGAAATATAGAACATTTTCTTCACCATGAAAATCCCTCCTATGTTGCCCTTTCATAATCACACTCACTTCCCTTTGGAACTCACCTTAATCTGTTCAACCAGGAAGCTGCTCTCCACTTTTAGTACTTTCTCATTTCAAAACTTTGGGAAGGTTTTCGCCATTATTTCTTCAAGTAGATTTTCAGCTCTTCCCTCTTTTTCATCTCCTTCTGAGACTCTGATGACAAAAATGATAGATCTTTTATCTAATCCCACCCTTACCCTGTGGCTTTGTCATTTTTTCAGCCTATTTTCTCCTTGTTCTTCAGATTCGGTAATATCTATTGTCTTGTTTTCCAATTCACTGATTTTCTCTTTGGTCTCTTCTGTTCTGCTAGTCAGCCCATGCACTGAGCTGTCCTATTTTCGTTCTGAAATTCCTGTTTTGCTCTTCTTATATCTTCTGTTCCTTTCCTGAGGCTTTCTGCTTTTATCTTGTATCATAAGCATTTTTGTCATTATTCATGGAGTATTTTTTTCTATGGCTGCCTTAAAATCTTTGCCCGATAATTCTAACATTTTGTCATTATGGTGCTGGTTTTCATTCATTTGAAATCTTCTTGGTTCTTGGTATGACAAGTGTTTTCCATTGAAACCTGGTCATTTTCATATTATGCTATTAGACTTTGGGTCATAATATAAATATGTTTATATTTATACTATGAGACTATGGGCCATAATATAATATAACATAATATAAAGTTGATATATAATGTTAATATATAAATATATAATATATAAATGTATAAAACTGTGCCACCTTATCACTGGTGGTGGAAGTTCAGATGTCCCACTCAACCTTTGTTGACACTGGAGGCAAGGGGCTCCTCTATACTGCTGGGTGAGGTGAGAATTTCTGGCTCCCCACATAGTCATTACTGATGCTGTGGTGGTGGCTTGGCCTGTGACACCTGGAAATGCCAAAAGTCCTGATTCTCTGCCGGGACCTACTACTCTCCTCTAGGTCTAGCAAGGAAGTAGAGATCACTTGCTCACTCCCTTGCTGACACGGGCAGGTGGGTAAGCAGGGCAGCCTGATCACGGGCTCTCACTTGGCCAAGAGCCACGACTTCCACAACTAACAAGTTCCCACTGGAAGCCCACAGTTGGAATCTGGGTGAAACTGGTTCCCCAAGGATAGGAACTGGTGCCCCCGGAGCAAGGTTGGAAGGCACTGGGTGGAGAAAAACAGTAGTTGCCTCATATATTATTGTTGTTTTGGGGTGATTTAGAATGCTTACTTGTTTTTTGATCTTTTCAGTGATTATGGCCTCTTACAAAAGGCAGAGAGAGAAAGCGGAATAACATTCAAAGTATTTTATCTCTTTGTTCAACATTCACTTACTCTGCACGTTTTTATTGAGTAATAACTTTGGGTTAAAAATTGTGCTAGATATTGGGAACACATGGGTGAAAACCACACCATCCTTTTCTAAATAAGCTGACAAATCTCTATGTGTTAGGTTTGGTAGCTGGGCAAAAAGATTGGAAATTTTGGTTAAAATCATGTATTTGTACAGTATCTTAATTAAAAAAATTCAAACACACACATGTGAATAATCTTTAATTTTAGCAGAAATTTTTTCTTCGTTTAACCATGTTTCCCTCCAAGCTTTTACAGTAACTATGACAACACATATTTATATTTTATAACCAGAACAATGTTAAAAATCAAGTGATTTTTTATCTATTTTGTTTTGAACTGGAATTTCTTAAACAATATCATCTCTGTTGCCCCTTATGTTAAGCAATAGAAGCTTCAATATATGTAAAGACTTTAATTTCAAAGTTGATAAACGTCATTAGTCACTATAATTTACTTTTCACTGTTCTCTGATATTAACGACCCTGGGAGGTGACCCAACCAGAAAGGGGGTGACAGTGACCAAGATGAACAATAGTTAAGTCTAGAGAGGCAGTGGCTCTCCTCTGTGAAAAGAGGACCTGAGAACCTGAGTACATCTGTCGTTTACCACCTGTGTGACTCCAGATATTTAAAGTTTTGAGCCTCAGTTTCTTCTGCTGGAAGTGTCCTGACTTGTAGACCACAGAAGGCCTGAGATCATCAGGAAGACAACTGCATGTAAAAAAAGCAGGTTGTTAGCTTTACACCAAATATTGAGTCGAGTTTCCATTGATTCACTACTTTTTGGTGGGTTTGTCTTCAACTATGCCTCCAAAAGGATCAGATTCAGGGCAGTTCCCTAATAGTGATGGAAAATCACAAAGACAAGGTGAGCAGAAACCCACTTTGAATAAAGATAATGTGGATTCAGCTCATTTCTAGATTGGGTTTGTGCTTTCAGGTGGAGTCTCTGAAAATCCATTGAACTCTTCCCATTTTTTTTCTATTAAATGTTTATTATTTATTTAGAGAGAGAGAGAGAAAGAGAGAGAGAGAGAGATAACGCATACACAAGCAGGGGAGGGGCAGAGAAAGAGAGGGAAAGAGAATCCCAAGCAGATTCCAGGTGGTCAGCACAGAGTCCCACGCAGGGCTCCATCCCACTAAGGGCAAGTTCATTACCTGAGTTGAAATCAAGAGTCAGAGGCTTAAATGAATGAGCCACCCAAACACCCCTTCCAAATTTTTGACCCCCATACATCCTATTTAGGGCCTATGACACAAGATTTTAATTGAACACGAAAGATATGGGAAGCGCATATTATCACCCAGGCAGTATGCTAGATTCTATATATAAAAAGATGAATTAAAATGCAGTCCGTATTCTCTTCGGACTATGGCAGCTGAAATGTTACTAGAATGACACAAAACTATTTAAACCTGTCCTTGAAAAGAGATACACATATGACATTTTCTTTCAATACATGATTGATCCTGCACACTAAATCTACATTTTAGAATACTGAAACATGAGGTTTTATCTTATTTTTAAGAAGGGAAATTGTGCCAAATTTAAGGAAATTACCCAAAGAGAACCTCAATTTCTGCATGTGGTTGAAAGCTCTTTAAGGAATGGGTAATTACAAAAATCCTGGTTCTCCATATAGTTATATTAACACACGCTTCTGTATTTTGCATATATATATATATATATCATCATGTAAGTTTAATTTAATTCCACACATCTAACACGTATAAGGAGAAACTGTGCTGTGTGTTTGCGTCTCCACAAAGAAATTTGCGCTGCGAAGTCCCAGGTCTTTACAAAGATGCAATGTCATAAAGTTTCAGGTATTTACATGGAAAGGGACTAAATCAAGAAGAGTTTCCTTTTTCTATTTACTGGAGGGAACCCCGAAGGGCCATTTTAAGGCCCTAGAAGTGCCATGTAAGTCTCCAAAAGCGGTTGTGATGTATTCAACAAAGGATAACACCAACCGGGAGGCAAAAAGAATCATAGAAACGGGGAGAAAAAACACACTTCCTGGCTAGGAAGCTCTTAAAAGTTCTGAGCCAGGAAACCTTCGGCACCGGGGCGGGGAATGCCTCCCCGCTAAGTCCCCCTCAAGTGTTCCCTCCCTCTCTCCGCCATTCCCCGCCTCAGTCCCCAAACGTGGGAGCCGCCGGAGAAGGCCAGCACCTCTACCTGACTTTGTCCGACAGAATCAGACTCCGACGCCTGTTTATTTTAAAGGACCCCACACCCCCCAAGGGGCCGTATCGGCAGGCGGACCCAGGGGATCCCAAACGGCGCCCGGGAGCTCATCTTAGAAGTTGGGGGCCAAGCCTGCAAACGAACAATAGCAAAACCGAGCCAGGAGCACGTCCCTCCGCTCGGGCTGGTTCTCCGGGGGCGCGCGGGCCTGCGGCGAGGCTGGGGCCCGCCGCCCGAGCCCCGAAAAGGCGCGCTGCCCCTTTAAAAGGCCGCGCGTCTCCGGGCCGGCCTTCCTCCCCGGGGCTCCAGCTGTGATTGACGCTGGGCGGCGCGAGGAGGCGCCTGGCGCGAACAAAAGTCCGGCCCGCGGGCGAGCGGCGCCGGGCCGGGAGTCTCCGCTCGCTCGGGGCACCCGCAACAAGTGGCCGCCGCGCCCTCCCCGGGGAAGCCGCGGGCGCGCAGGGCCGCCGGGAGGAGGCGGCCGAGCCCGGGAGCCCCGGCCGCCCGCGCGGCTCGGCGCCCGCCGCGGAGGGAGCGCGGCGGGCGGATGGGGACCCGGCGGCGGCGGCGCGGCGAGCCTCGGGGCGGCCCCGGGGCGCGGGCTCTCCGCGGCGCTGCGCCCGCGGGCCCGGAGCGCGGGTTCTAAGAGCGGCGGCTGCCCCCGGCCCCACCCCGGAGCCGTCGGGGGTGCCGGGCGGGGACGGAGCGCCCCCTCCCCCCGGAGTGCAGGGGCCGCCCGCGGCCGCAGCCTGGCCCCGGAGCGCGGGGGATGCGCGGCTAACGGCCCCGTCGGGCGGGCTTTCCTCGGGCGGAGCGCGCAGGCGGTGCGCCCCAGCGATGCAGTGTCCGGGGAGACGGCGGGCATGACGGCGGCAGGATGGGCGCGAACAATGGCAAACAGTACGGCAGTGAGGGTGAGTGGGCCGCCCGTCCCCACACTCCCGCATCGCGCCCCCTCCTCTGCCCCCCGGCCTCCCGTCTGGGGAGGAAGCTTCTCGCACGCCTGCCGTGGCGCACCCCCATTTGGCACCGTGTCGGGGCCGTCACCTTTCCCCTTGGCGCTGAGCGCTCAGGCGCCCCGAGGATGCTTTCCCACCGTGGGGGGGGGGGGGTGGTGGCATTGAAGCAACTTCCCAGGTTGTCTTTGGGACGTTGCATTTCTGCCGTATTTCTGAGCACCAGTGCCTCAACTTTCCTTCTCTAAGCATCTGGGGGTTAGCATGATGGTTTGGCCGATGGCGGAAGACGCGTTTGAAAAATAACGCTGTGAAAACTTTCCCAGGCCTTTGTGCTCCAGTCCCCGGGACTCTCCTGTAGCAGGACCAACTTCTGGAAGAAGAAGTTAAGTTTCCGTTCTCAGCTCGATGCCCCTGAGCTGACAGCTTCGTGAAACCCCACCTTTGGGCCTCGCGAGGCGAGGAGTGGCCGGGGGCTTTGTCTGGGCTCTCTCGGGGCTCAGGACGGGCAAAGGACCATCTGTTACGTGGGGCTGGAAATTGCACAGAAATATTGCCTGTCAAGTGGGAAGTTGGAAGTTGGGGAAACTTTAAACTCCACCTACTCCTAAAAGGATGATGGATGTGTGGGTTGGCTTCTCCCTGGCTCCTCCTTCTATTTGCATGAAACCGCGGTATTGTAACCGAGTTGATTAACAGCTTGCCCCCGATTTGCATCCTGCATAGGCGTTTTGCGCGGTTCAAAAGTTAGGAAGGTTGGACTTTCGTGAACTTGGCTGGAGGGGAGTGGAAGAGACAGTCTCGCTTTTATAGGCGCCCCCCCCCCCCGCCCCCCTAGGCTGTTACAAACCGGGTCCAGCGCCTGCAGACTGGTAGGAATGCAGAATGGCTCTTCAGCATGTGGTGTTAGGGAAACTCCGACCATCCTGTTCAAAACTTTGAGGTGTGGCCTAGAACGTGGACGTCTGTCCGGGTGTGTGTCTGTGCTCGTTCTCAGCAGCTTTGTGAAACTACAGCAGAAACGTGCCCTAAAAGACCATACCCACAAGGACCTTTTGTTGAAATCATTCTTTTCCAGATCACAATGTATCGAGGCGCGTATATATTGTCTCCTAAATCTGGGCAGTTTTGTGGGAGATATTTTTTTTTTGATAATTTCATTTAAAAAAGTTTAACAGTTGTCTGTTTAAATAGCCCGTGCGAAAATATGCCAACAAATATTATTGGAGAGTCTTGGCCACTGCCCAGAACTTCTCAATGTTTTAAAAATTTGTGGAATAATGAAAGATTAAGCCTTCTTACGCTGCGTATGAAACAGCTTTCAGGGCGTAAAATGTGTGCTTGTCGGTTCTGGGTGTGCATACATTGTGATAGTTGAATACTTTTGGGGGGGCAGACACCCCAACAGTTAAGTGGACGCAGGGCTCTGCGTTGTTGAATGAAACTCTCCCGGCGCTCCTGCAACTTGTTCTTGCGTCCCAGTGTTCTCCTAACGTACAGTGTGTGGTGTATGACGACTTCCTGTCTGAACAGCAGAGTGTTCAACCCCTGGGAGAGAAAAGGAGACACAGAGAACTAATGATCTCCAGCTGTTATCCGTAAATGCTACCTCTGCATTTTCACTTCAGCTGAAGTGAAATTTTACTGGGATCGGATTTAGATACACTGTGGAACTTTTTATAGGGAAAGCCTCTTGGGCTCAGCTGATTCGGGGGAACCAATAGGGAGCTTTGGGCGGTAACTGAGTTTTGGCTGGAGGGACACATTGTACTTAGTTTTCATACACTCTATTCAAATGCTTGGAGGTTCCTCTGTGGTCGTAAGGAAAAATAGAGAACTAGAAGTAACGGGAACCCCCCCCCCCCCCAGTTACATTAGACCTCTCCTAAATAGGGTTATAACATATGTACAGTAGGCCATTGAACAGTGTGTGGTTTAGGGGCACCAATTCCCCCTGTGGTCTGAAATCTGAGTATGACTTTGACGCATCCCAAACTTAACAAGAGCATACTGTTGACCGGAAGCTTTACCGATAGCATAGACAGTTGATTCATACTCATGCATTCATACCTTTTATATGTAGTATATACTGCATTCTTAGAGCTAGAGCAAAGAAAATGTTATTAAGTCATAAGGAGGGGCGCCTGGGTGGCTCAGTCAGTTAAGCATATGGCTTGAGCCCAGGTCATGATCTCGCGGTTCGTGGGTTTGAGCCCCGCATTCGGCTCTGTGCTGACAGCTCAGAGCCTGGAGCCTGCTTCAGATTCTGTGTCTCCCACTCTCTGTGACCTTCCCCTGCTCACGCTTTCTCTCTCTCTCTCTCAGAAATAAATAAAACACTTAAAAAAAAAAAAGACAGTCATAAGGAAGAGAAAATAGATTTACAATTCTGTACTGTATTTATGAAAAAATTTACGTGGAAGTGAACCCACACAGTTCAAACCCAGGTGGTACAAAGGTCGACTGTAATTGGTATTGGTCAACTTTGTGACAATGTGTCAATGTATGGTAACATATGCGGATAAGCCTGTCGGAATTCAATGTGTCAGTGCTATGTTGTTTTCTAATCTAACATGTCAAATTTCAAAGAAAGTGAACTCAGCCCTTCAACACAGTATCCCCATGAAGGAGACTGAGAATTAAGACAGTTTTAGTAGGGTTAGTACAAGTTAGGGATAGTTTGAAATAAGGCTTATTTCAAAGATTTATTTCAAGCCATACCTAACTTGAAATAAAAGAGGGAAATTATTAGTAGATGCATATCCATAGAATGAAGTGAGAGACTGCTCCACTCCTAAATATAGGTGTTTGTTATACTTTAAAAATCTGCACTTTAAGTCTATTTTAGAGTTGACACCACCCTGTAAATGCAAGCCACATTCATTTTACAGTGAGTGTTCAATTATTGGAATGTTTACAACTTCAGCATTTCTTATGTAATCTTACTTTCTCTTGTTCCTGAAAAACACCCTTGTCATTAAAACTACAACAAAAATTCTTCCTGAGGTTTTACCTTAGCAGGTGCAACAGAGCGGACATTTCCAGCTGTGTGGAATTCAAGGGCTCCCAGTGGTGGAAGCATCACCTTGGAGCTTGTTAACGGTGCAAAATCTTGAGTTCCTCCTAGAATTGAATGATATATCATGTTCTTGTTAAACTGGGGGAAGTTCTTGCATCGAGCAGAGAGCATTAACTTGGGAGTCTGTAAATTTGAGTCCAGCTTCAATTTAGCTTCTGTGACCTTGCTCCATTCTCCTGAAATCATGGGGTCTTTCTTCTCTAGAATGAGGAGAGGAATTCCTTACTGGCATTACTTGTCAAGACCTAATTCTCAGGTGCATGGTCATTTATTTTATTTTGCTCTTCCAATGCCTTAATGAACCACTTAATGGAGATTAACCTTGGAAGGTGTGTTATAATAGGGAATATAATAAGTATAATTTGGCGGGAATATCATAAATAGGGAAGTTAGACTGTTATTGCCAGGAAATCCATAAGCGCTCCCCCCCCCTTAGTCACAGTCTTTTCTCTCACCTCCGTCTTTCTCACTTGTTCCCCCCCTCCTAATACAATCAGTCCTGAACTCCCTGCTTTTCTTCCTAAATTCAAGATCTGTGTAAATAATGGGTGTTTCCAAAGTGTTTTGTTTTCCAACCTACTCAGTGACTATTAGGTGAATGGTTTAATTTGTAACCCCTCCTCCCTCTTCACGCTCAGCTTGGATTTTGCTCCAGGAAAATGTTACCACACCATTCCTGACCCTTAGATTTCTAGAAAAGTAAGAGACTGTCTAAATGATTAGGATGTTCTGATCAATTCTTTTATCGAAGGCTGTTTTTTTTTTTTTTCCTCTTTGTCTTCTTTCATAAGGTGTACATTTCAGCCTGTGTGTAGAAATCTGGAGAATGAGTTGCAGTGAAGCTTAGGACCATTATTAGCTTTGACTCCAGTTAAGCGAAATAAACAAATCTTCCTGTTCTAGTAGGAAGACCGGTTGCTTTCCCTTCCTTTTAAGGTGTCTGAGCCTCCCCCTCACTTACTCCATGATTTCATTGTTATGTTTGTTCTACTCCAGCTTGTCAGGAGGCTTTAGTATACAGTTAGCAGCTCCTTTGCAAAATCCTGAGTGTTGTTGAATTGGAACTGATGAGGCCCCAGTGATGGGGTTTGACCCTTGGTGGCTGTGCTGCTGTATCAAGTGTCTTGGGCCCCTTGTCACCATCTCAGATCTGCTGTCAGATATCAGGAGAGCCAGCTGTCTGAACACATAAATCGTCACTAATCCATCACCACCTCGGGAAACATATCTTGGAATAATAATAATAATAATGGCAGCTGAGGTTTATTGAAAGTTTACTACGTCCGAGCATTATTCTAAGCCATTGACGTACACCAACTCACATAATCCTCATGACAGTCTGAAAGGCAGGCACTCCTGAGGTCCTCGTTTTACCAATGGGGAGACACAGCTGTAGAGAACATAGTGTAGGTGGCACGGGGACCCCGGGCCAAGTCTGTCTAAGCCCAGAGTCGTTGATTCAGTCGTTCACCTAATGTATGTTGACTTCTTATTTCTTGCTGTGTGCCAGGAACTCTTCTGGATGGTTGGGATCCATCCGGAAACGGAGTAAGATCCTGTACCTGTCAATCTTTTCTTCACGAGTGTGTGTGTGTGTGTGTGTGTGTGTGTCTGTGTGTGTCTATATGCGCGCACACATGTTGAGAGGGACGGAAGTGGAACAATTAACGTGCGCATACACACACAGTAACTCAGTCAACCGTGTGATACGTTCTAAGGGGCTAATGTCTCTGATTAAAAACAATCTTCAGATTATTCGGGGATTGGGAGGAAGAGAGTGTTGCAGTTTTAGAGCAGTCACTGTTGGCCTTTTTGAAAAGTTGGCATTTGGACCAGGACTTAAAGGAAGTGAAAGACTGATCCTTGAGGATTCATCCAG